CACCTCCCAATCTTGTTTTTACTGTAAGACAGGGCCTCACTGAGTTACCAGGTGCTCAGGCTGGACTTGTGATCCTCCTGCCTCAGCCTCCCAGAGTTCTGGGATTACAAGTGTGTGCTACCATGCTCAGTTCAGAAGGAAAACTTTTAAGAATGTAAAGAAAACAGCAGATAGGTTAAAAGAAAATTTATTAAGTGGCAGATTAAACAGCTAAGACATATTGAAATGCTGCAAATGGAAAATTATAACATGTAAATTATATTTTGCATGCTGAGATTAAGTGTTCATTACTACATTTCCTCAGTCCTCATTCTCCCTTTGTAGATTCTCATTTCATTGCTTCATTGATACAGCTTTCACTATATTTGATTTCTACATCAAATATACCTACCTATACCTTTACCTACTCATTTCTCCTCAGTGGCCTCAGATGTGATCAACAAAGAAACATTCTTCACTCAAGGCTAAGAAAAGCAAATGCATCTTTGTTTGATTTTCCTGTACCCTTAACTGATCTTTTGCTTTAGACTTCCCTAAATAGTGTGGTTATAGTTTGGGTTAAAGATTTAAGGAGAAGGGATAGAAAACAACAGAGAAAAAAAAATGATGAGATGAATAAAAGGACCACAGAGATCCTGTGTAACTGTGGTCCAAATTAGTATCTAAAATATGATGATCCTATTGCAGGTCAGATTCTCCAGAAGACAGACCCAGTAGTTTCACATGGAGGCTGCTTATCAAGAAGTACTTCCAGGACCAAGAGACTCAAAACAGACTGTGTGGGTGGTAGGAGTGGGTGGACATTGAGTTGCCTACCATTCAGGACTTAGGACAGCCTCAGCTGAGCCACTGCAGCTCAGGAGCTAGAACAGGCCTTCCCCAGGGTGCCTCATTGGGCTGCAATGGCCCGGCTTTACAGCCCACCCTGACCTTCCCCAGCACCAGTTCAGCAGCTCACTGATAGGGCAGCAGAGGTGATCTGCGAAGGCAGTCCGCCCCACACTTCTGGCAGTAGTGCATCATGCCCTCGCTGCGATGGCTGGGTGGATAGCAGTGTCTACCACAGAGCTCACCGCACATTTTAAAGAAGGAGAAACACAGGAAAGAATGATCAAGGAAAAATTTAATTTACTTGGTTAAAAAAATTTCGTGAATGGTATAAATTTCATCACAGTGCATTATATAGGAAAATTTCAGACACCCAAGTTTTGTTTTTGCATGACATTATATGTACTCTATAGTGTTTGTGCTTTTGTTTTATATATATATATATATATATATAGCATTTTTATGCCTCCCTTTTCTGGGTCTTCTTGAATCTCAATAGGAGAAACACTGAATTGATAGTAATCAGGGCCAGCATTAATAGGTATGCACTTTATTTAGAAAGCTGGCAAACCTCTCCCATTCTTAGTTTTCTAATTTTCCTTGAGAGTGGTTAGATATGATAATTTCCCACTATGAATGTTGTGGAAGTTCTTTTCCTACATCTTATGAATCACGTTTCTACACTGTGCTTCCCCTCCTACACACTTCAGGGACACTGCTGAGCCGTGTACTAGCCACACTCCTCACACCTGCTTCCTCTGCTTGAACACTGCCCGCCTCATCACACAGCTGACTTCTTTTCATCTCCCAAGTGCTGGCGTTAAGGTCATCGCCTCCCAAGCCCACATAATCTAAACTAATCCTGCTTGATAAGCCACATTCCTCTCACATCAACCTATTTTATTACCTTGGTAACAAAATTACCTCAGATCATCTTGTTTATATATTTATCTGTTATTCACTACTGGATCCTTAGACATTTAAGTATTCAGTAATTACTCACTCTGAAGAATTAATATAGATAAAGAATGGATATTTATGATTCATATGACATTGAATAAATGTCAGAAAAACAATAATTTAAAAATTATTTATATAGGTAAAACCATTTTATTCTTTATTTATTTTTTGGATAATTCTGAATAACAGAAGGGGCCGCAAGTCTGTATCCTAATATAACATATTAAATAAGCTCTAAGATGACTATCTGAGCCTTCATAAACAGCATAATGATATACAAAATAAGTATGTTGTTTCCTCAAGTAATGTGTTTTTTGAGGTAGGAAAAATACATTTGACTGTGTATGAAACACACTCTATCTTTTGACTGGTAAAACATTACAAAAAATGTTAACATTTCTTAAGGGTAACTTTCCGATTTCATGTAATAAGCCTATGATAAAGTCTGTATAAGAGAGATAAAAACAAGTCATAAATTAAGTCACTAGACTTAATAATATTTGTGCATGAAGCTCTTACAATTTTTGGCTAGCTTTTTAGAAAGAATAAGAATATAAGATAGCTCAAAAGATTCACTGAGCTCAGGGATTCAACTTCTGGCAGGGTCAATGGAATGTCCTTTGTGATCCTGGCTGAATAGTTACCCTTACGCTAAACATGGTTCACTTCAAGTCCACACTTTCCACAACACATTAAATACTTTAATTATGAAAAGTATGAAATTCTTATTTTCAAATGGATCTATTTCAAGTTACAAAGTTCTATACATGTTCTCTTATCTATATTAAGGAAAATGCTTTTATTTACCTAAGGCTCTAGTTCTTTCAGCTCTGTAGTAATTTTAGACACTTTGTTCTTGGTGGAAAATACCATGTTTACCACATCATCTATTTTTGTGAGGCTTTAATTTGATTTTCTTTCAGACATTATCTTTTAAGATCAAGAAAGAAATATTAGGCCTAGGAAATCCTGGTCTAATTTTCTGACAGAGGCCAGAGACACAGTAATAACTGGGATGGATGTCAGGATCCTAAAAGCACAGGTAGGCAAGACCTCTTAGCATCTGAAGATCTGGTGCAATAAAGAAAGACATATATCATGAAGTATAGTACATTTTAGATAAATTTTAGAATTATTTTAAAATATATATGGCAGGCCAATGTTTAAATAGCAATGAATCACCAAGTGAAATTAATATTAGTTTCTCCAAGTTATGAGACAGTTCTTGTCTATGGTGACATTAAAGTAGAACGCCTGGAAAAATCAAAATGAATCCTTGAATACCAGCAAGAAACTTCACACGAAGAAGTTTCATGGCACACCACAGTCTAACTGGTCCTTATTTATACGCTAATCTCATAGGATGTTATCTTAAATAATGTAACAATTCAGGAGAAGAAAAAAACAATTATGGACCTTTGCCATGTTTTATACACATATTTCAGTAATCAAATCAAATTTAAAATGTTGTCCAAGTGAAATGTCAGGATAATTATTTTTCCTAAGTGATACACCATAACGAGTCTTGAATGGTACAGTTACTAGCCTCAAGGAAACAGAACAAATATAAAGCTAAGGTAAAGGCAACTTTATTACAATACTTTTCCAAACTTCAAAATGCATTTATTACTAAATTTAGGTCTAATATATAGTACATTATATTATACGTCAGAAAGCATTTCTGGTCAGATATTTAGCTTCCATGGACTGCCCAAAAAACAGCTTCCTAGGAATAGCAGCAACACACAGTATTTTATAACACTAAGTAAAATTTTTTTCTGGTATCTCAAAATCATTCATAATATAATTTATTTTATGTTATTTTCCTCTGACATAAAAACCAAGCATAGCTATCTTTCCGTATCTAACTAATTAACACCTGAAAATTTACTATACCATAAAAACATTCAACAGCTTAGGTATAGCTCCTTTAGTAGAAAACAGGATTTTGAATCTAACCAAACCAAAAGAATACTGTTATATTCTCATTGCAAACAGCAGAGTTCTCTTTTTTCCTTTAGGAGCTATATCTTGGCCTCCTGCTCTTCTTCACATAGTCATCCTGAACAGAACCTGCTTTAAAAGATACCTAAATCTACAATGAATTTTACTAAGAAAAATCTCTTTAGCCTTATCTCCTTGTATTTTCTTTCATAAAATAATTTACAATAAATTCAAAACAATCCATAATAATGAACTTAAAAATGATCTTGGGAAATGTAATAACGTAAAGGACATATTTTTCAAATTAGACAAGGATATTATTTGTTCATATACCTTTGCTTCAACCAACCAAAAAAATCCAACTTACAAAAATTTTTTCCAAGGTTACTACCACAATAACAATGGAAATGTGTACATTCACTGAATAGATCTAGTCCCTTCATTTCCTTTCTATGGTTTCATATTTCTGAGCTACCAGCTAGAACAAAACATGTTTATTTTCCTCAGTTTCACAACAATAGGACATTGTTAGAAAAGTATAGACTAGAAAAGGCTCTATTTTTCCACAAGGCAAATTAATACAGATTTCTCTATGAAGCTGAAAAAGAAAAAGTGAATGAAAAGATGTGTGCTGGCTGCTTGGGGGGCAAGGCTCATAAATCACTGTACATTAAGAGCACGAGCTGAAACTTCATGGTGCCAGTCACGTAATTTTGTGTATTTGGGACTAAAGACGTGAAGGGGTATCTTTTCCCTGTGGAAATAAAAAAAAAGAGTGACAGAAGAGTCATAAGAAAGAGAAAGAGAGAAAGACCATACACCAACTCCACCATGCAGAAAACATGCCTTATAAAAGCTTAATTGTACGTAGCTGTTTTGTTAAATAGCAAAGATTTTAAAGGTAGAACAGTTTTAGAAATTCAGAAATTAATCTAAAGAGCCCTTCTGGAAACATCCAAATAAAGTGACTGCAAGACAACACAGCTCATTCACAGAGAGATTTACAGTTAGCAAAGCACCCTCCAGGCCCTCTGCCCATTTCTTATTTCAATATGAAGGAGGATAAAACAGACACTAAATCTAAACAATATTTACTAACTTGGAAATCTATAAATTGTACATTTAGGTCATAGTAATGGCACTATGGTTAAATGTTTAGCTTCTATTTGTAAAGACAAACGCCAAACCATTACACTTGAAAATTTGACAAACCAAACTGAGACCATTCATGAAAGGAAAGTACTCAATTTACAAAAAAGAGAACTTACTTTGCCTTTTTTGTATTATCAGTTTCAGATTCTTTCACTGAAATACAATAATATCCAGGATTAGGTTATTTTAACTTCAAAATCATTTTAACAATTATATACATCAATCATTATCAAATGTTCAAGGTTCAGAGAGTGACTAAGAAAAATTTCATGCCATGTGGTTTTGGCTGTACACCATAGTCAGGATTCTTCCCCTGCCGAACGTAATTCTCCTGGACTGATGATACCTTATTTACAGTACCCATGTTATGCACAGCCTAATTTAAAAGTGCACTGTCCTAGGTTTGTTTTGCAAGAACTGCCCGTATGTCTCAATGCTACTCTCTGGGCCACAGAATATTCATCCATGAGGATCCCCAGAAGCTCACTTACAATGTTCAGTCCCAGTGATCTGGGCGAGGATGCGGAAAGAGCGGGACTGAGTTGTTCCAGTCCTTGGATGCCAGTCTTCAGTGTCCTCCATCAGCCTCTTCTTGCTGGCATCACTGTGAGTGGGTATGTGGTAAAACTCCGTATTGCGCTCCACAATGTGTTTCCTTGGTGGGCTAGGGATAAGAAGAAAAAAAAAAAAAGGGATTTAGAAATCTTAAATTTTATTAAAAGGATAAAATATCCTTTGGTAAATTATTTATATTTTATACATTTAAGCCTCAAACATCAAAATTTAAATTGCTTGCATATGCATATCCAGCCTCATTTTTGTTTGAAAAACACCTTTCTAAATAGGTTGTTGTTTTTATTTAGTAAAAAATAAATTTACAATGTTAATATAAACTACCATTATAAGGATGCATTCAATAGGAAGATTACCGTTTAGGTGGGAATTTCCTTTTAATTGAGAGAAGAAGGCAGCAGAAGAAAGATTTCCAACATGAAGAAAAGGAAAGGAAAAGAGTAAGAAAAAAGAAAACTAGAAAATGAAAAATCTACAGTAGTCAAAATCAATTTAAAATTACTTGTATCACTCTTATTCCACATAAAACAAAGATATGGAGTATGATTTAACCACAATTAAGTATTATATCAATACGCTACTACAAAAGTAGTTTTCACAAAAGTAAATAAATAACTGCATTGTTCACTAGCCTCAGGGACCAAGAATGGTCAGGTTATAGGCTAAACTAGTGATTCTAAGCACAATTTTGAAAAGGGTCAGAATTCTTGTTTTCTACAGTTTTCTCACTCATGCGTAAAGATATGCTTGTCCTAAATAGAGCTGTTACACAGAATCAGCCCTTGAAGGCCGGTGGAATATTAGAAAATACTGATACATTTATCAGAAGACTAGGACTGAAATCTTGGCTCTATCACTTTTTTGATGTGTGATTTCAGACAAGTCAATTACACTAAGCCTCAGTTTTTTTCATTTATAAAGCAAGAATATCACATAAAAAGTGTGTTCTTCTGAGGATTAAATGCCATATTATATGTCAAAGAAATGTGTATACTACAGAGTTCAAGAACTTTGACTTTGCTAAAAACATTTAATAAAAACATTTCTATTAATAAAGCATAAACATTAAGTAATTTACAACATACATTATTTTAATACCTCAAGATCTACTGAACATAATCAACATTCCTCTCAAAATAGCACAAATGCAAACTGGTGGAGAATGGCCATGAGTTTAATTTCAGAAGAGAAAAAGGAAAGCAACTAGCAGACTACTGGCATGAGATGTGAGTAGAGAAACTGCTATAAATATAAATGTAATGTAAATGTAAATTAGATGTGATTGTCAGGAACTCCTAACACTTCCTCACTGTCTCTAAACCACCGGTAACACATGCATCACAGTCTCATTGGGCAGCTTGTACCACCTGATGGGACAGTGGGGCATGTACCACTGGTGGTGCAGAGCCACCCAGGAGTGAGACAAATTACAGCCCCATCATGAACATGTTAGCTTGCACCTTAAAAAAAATCAGTGCTACCAGCATGCCACATGACTGTTGTCATTTTAATAATTACTGCATGAAAATTGCCTCAGTACCCTAAAGATTTTTCCCAATGAAGAACATGATAGAATTAAAGTTAGTAACAGTTTCAAACACTGCATCTTCCACTCAATGTGTATTTAATATAAGTTACTTTTCCAAGTCTCAGTTTTCCCATCTGAGCAATGGAACTGCATCTTAAAGGTTGTTCTCAGGGATAAATATGATAATGTATGTGAAATGCTTTCCACAGTTTCCAACCTATAATTTCTTTTACGATGACTAGAAAAAAACCTGCAACACCATCTTATAAAGCTATAGCTTATCAGCATATACAAAAACAGAATCAGTTATGACTGCACAAAATAGTAAGACATAATAATTTACAGTAATATTTCATTATTCCTGAAGTGAATTATTTAAATGGCCTTTACTAATACTAAAATCTAGTCCTTTTAAAAATAGACAAAATTTTTAAAAACTAGAAAACAGGCTGAGATTATTTCATAAACATGTCTTTGACACAAGAGAAACAGCTCTTTACCACCTATAAGTACTTGAAAAAACTTATATTCAGGTATGGACCATATTATAGTTTTCAATTTTTCTGCAATTAGTGAGTGCAATTTACTAGTATGTAAAAATATAAAACAACAGTGGAAAAATAAAGACAATAAGGACACTAATTTTTTTAAAAATGATTTTTAAAAAAGGAGCCCCAAACTATGTCTTTAACTCCAATGTGCAAAATCCATAATTTTTGCCTATTCCTCTGAAGTTGGCTTACTAAATTTTTCCACTGCAGAAGTGTGGGTATTCCAAACGTACCCACTGACTCATATGAAGTTCTGTAGCATGAAAAACATGTTTCTCATGATCCTTAACATTTCTGAGAATTCCTGTAATGAGACAATACTAATGACATTTGCTGGTGGTTGTAAGTTAAAAGCAAGATGAAAACTTACAGAGAATCAAAGATGAAAATTACAAAACAAACCATTAGTTAAGTACTTACACAGTGCCAGGGTTACTGAAGAAGGAATAATATACACAAGAAAGATGTGAGAGAGAAGACATTAACGTTCCCCAGGATGATGGAAAATAAGAGATGAAAAAAAAAAAAAGAAAATAATGAAATAGCAAAATTCAAAGCAATGAACTTAAGTGAAGATGTTACACAAACACCATGCTTCAAAATAATCATATAAATAAACACAGACAAATAAAAACGAACAAATGTTAGTCAAAGTTCTGTTACATTATTAGGACAATAGTTTTACCTGTTTATTATCTTGAAAATTATTTTATGCATTAATGCTAGTTCAAGTCTCAAGTTACTGAATACCAAGAGAAGATCTACCAGTTTTTTACAAATTGTAAGTTTTTATAAAATTCATTTTATGAGTCCAAATTTTTATTATATTCCTAACAAAAGGTAGAGTAATGTATTTTGATGTAATACATAGAAATGGATCAGTTTAGAATCATTTTGAAAATAAAAACAAAACATTTCTAGTCTCACATGATAAAAATATATTAACAGGACATGTAATCTCTGTAACATAAATTATCCTGATCATATAAGGGAATGTTATATAAAATTATTTTTTCTTAAAATGTAGTATGCTGTAGTATGATGAAAATGTAAAAGGCACAGAGGATCATTATAATGGGCTACCTCCCAATTTTCATACCTCTCCATGTCTCTCACTACTATCATTCATAAACTATTCCCAGTGACTTTAGAACCAGGATGCAGGACTCCATAGTTCTGTTTTGCAGATGACATAATTATTGGCCAGAAAGGTGTACCTGATTTGATATGGGAAAGGAACTTCAAAACAAAATGCCTTCACATAGCCTAATAAGGGTAGAATTATGCAAAACAAATGCATTTCTTTTCCATTATGTATAGAAAAAAGTACAGTTTGCCAAAGAATATGTGTAGGGCTCTCCAATTCTACAAATAACTTTATTCAGAGTAAATAACAATTCATTATAAACACAGTAAGAAAACTGCTTTCTGATTTAATGTAAGGACTGGTGAGTATTGCTGTATTTGCATATATCAAAGTTAGTTTCATAAACTCAACAGAGGGCAGAGTTTCACAGAACGAGAGTGAGACCTGCTCTCAATAGTCCCTGTGTTATTCTTCTCTATTCACAATGGAAAGCACTCTCCCTATGCCTTGCTATTTTAAGTAGCAGGAAAATAATTGTGCAAAATAATCTTTCCTGATCAGTTAAACATTTTGAAGCTGAGGGAAAATGTTTTATGTTAATATGAATTTGGGGCAAAAATACAGTGTGGTGAAAGGCATTAAGTGGATTGGTTTCAACATAAAGATGCCATAAAGATTTGAATGTCAAACATGAGAAAATGAAAAAATGGAAACAAAGTCTTTGTAAATAGAGAGGGGTGGTGGGGTTGAAGGGAGGGCAGGGGAAAAAATAAGAATCAAGCTATATTATGTAATGGTACAAATCTCCAATGATGAATGTCATTGTATTGTATACCTAAAATGTACCAATAAAATCAATTTTAAAAAAGATTTGAATGTCAAATGGGGTGCTCAAATGGAACACCCCATCATGCATATTAGCAGCAAATACACCAATGTGATAGCCAGATGTCTGGGTCCCGGTTATGCGGCCCACTGCCCTGTGCCCTGCACAAGCTGCAATCTGTATAAGCCTCATTTTCCGCAAAGGTGAAATGGACTGAAATTTTTCTGCTTCCGACTTTTGTTTGTTTTGATATTTGGGTTGTTTTTGGGGTTTTTTTTTGCTTCAGACTTCTTTCTATAAGGGCTTATGTTGAATACATTTGAGGGGACTTTGAAAATTATACAAATATTGTTTTGTTGTGGAGACAGAACCCCCAACTACTCAAAAAAAAAGTGCTTTCTATGGCAACTGTAGCTTATGCAGATCAATTCAGTCATATAGTTTCTGTTAAATTCTAGTCATTAAAAACAAAGACTAGAGCCAGGGATTTAGCTCAGTGGTTCTGCTGCCTGCCTTGCAAGCACAAGGTCCTGAGTTTGATCCCCGGTACCAAAAAACCCCAAAAAACAAAAAACAAAGACTAAGTCAAAGTAATAGAAATATGCAGGTGATAGGAGAATGCACACCAAAAATTGATTTCAAAAGGCCTAGGTTCAAATCTTAGCTCTATACTTAGAAGATGCATGACTTGAGAAAATTACATAATCTTTCAGCATTCAGATTAAATGAGCATTAGACCAAATAATGTACTAATAAACATAGCACAATGCAAAGCAATAGCTAATACCAACATAACACATCCTATTACCTAATACATTAATGAATCTGATTCTTGAGCTTAAAAATATTTAATATAAATGCTTAAATTTATTTCTTCAAATCCCACTTCGTCTTTTTTTCAAATCAGATTGATTATTGCACTGGAATCTAGTAACCGGTCAAAGTTTTTATGTATAAGAAGTTAACTTTAGGGCCGGGGATTTAGCTCAGTGGTTCTGGCGCCTGCCTCACAAGCACAAGGTCCCAAGTTCCACCCTGGTACCAAAAAAAAAAAAAAAAAAAGGAAGAAAACTTTAAACAGATAATAAATCAAAGTTTGAGGATGTTTTTACTAATACATGGGTGTGCAGTACATATATATATTATATATATATGTATATTATAAACTATACAATCAATGAGACCATTGCCAATCAGAAAAAGATTACTAATTCAACAGTCAATTCTTTTGGATGTATCCCAAGATAGATATTCCATATTTCCAATTCTACTTTATATTGTGATGGTAAACATACTTCAGAACATGTTCAAAATAATCACAACTTTACAAGATTATTTTAAGTTCTCATGTAATGTGATTTTTATCTAGTTTTAAAGCTAGCAGTCACTAGTCAGTTTAATACCAATTTGAACAGAATACAAAAATTAAGGTTAGAAAGTTACACCACAGTGATTTTCAATGCCTACACCAACTGTTAATAAGTTGGTGATTATTTCACTTAACTAATTTCAAAGTGCAAGGACTTTCTATCACATACATACACAACTATACATACAGAAGTGTAAACCTGCCAGCACTGGAAAATTAAAACTCTCCAGAAAAATTAAAAAGGTCCTTAGAGAACTTTACGAAACACTGGTTTCTGATTAATTTATAATTTTATAAATTTTAAAATTTTATCAATGCAAATGTTAATGCTTGCCTTGTATCTGTAACTTTATTTTATAATAGTCATGATTGACATAAATTACATTCCCCAAGCACTGTTTCTTTTCAACCATTACACAGCAAACCCCACACATATTTTATGACAAAACTTAAATATTACTATTACTATAAAGCAAATCACCACAACACAGCAATGCAAACCAAACTTATTGTGTTCATTCTAAAGTATAACTCATTTGCAAAATTAATTTAATTTTGCGAAAAGTGGGCATTCATGCTGTTTACTCATATATAAATCACCATATTTCCTCTCCAGTAATGTGGATACTAACTTTGTCACGGGTGTTTTCTGTAAAGAAAAAAGCATTTTAAAATATTACTGCTACACCATTCATTTTTTCGTCTTCCACAACCAGGTTTTTCAACACAGGAACTATCAGAAGAACTGCAGTCCAAAACAACTGAAATACAGAACACTAAAAAGACTTACCTCTTGAAAGCAGTGGCACATTACAATGCAAAGACATAAGGAAAGGAAAAAAAGATAATAAGCTAAACTACTTGATGTAAAACAGCTTCCCTTCCAGCCTGGAATATAAAGTTCCCTCTGCTCTTCACGGAGTAAGGAGAGTACAGAAAACAGCATGCCAAAATCACTAATTTGTACATGTAGAAGAAAGATTTAAATTTCTTAAAGTGCCTTATTCATTATTATTTATCAGGAATAAGACAGTTTACACAGTATTAAATATCCTGAAACTATCAATATAACTTCTACATTTCATACTATTAGATGAGATGAATAGCTAATTATTTCTTAGTAATGATGTTCAGTAAGTTCTTGTGTCTTATGTTTATTAATTCTATACAAATTTAGGTGAGATAACTATCAAATTGGCAGCTAGCCACTTAAAATCTATTAAAAACTAAGTCTTCTGGGTACTTTGAGGAAAAAGACAACTCACGCATTCAACTTACTCTTGTTCTGAACAAGATTATTTTTAAAATAAAAAGTAACTAATGAAAAGCAACAATTCTCAACTTTCAAGAGCTTTGCTTTTGGCAACCTTATAAAACCCAGGGAAATAGAATGGTAAAAAGTCTGACAGAAAAGCAGTTTGATAACTGATGCAAAAAAAGCACTCATCAATACCAGAAAATGCCTACTCTTCCAGGTGACAAATCTCCCAATGAGTTAGGTGTAGGATTTATTCTGATTTTTATAATCTAAAGGTAGTGAGAGAGCATTTCAAATTTGTCTTTGAATTTCTCTACACTGTTTTCGGAGTAGTAAAGTTTTCATTGTCCTAACATCTGGAAAACATCTGAAATCAAGCTATTTTTAAAGACTTCTTTCCAAATGCAAAGCAGTAACTTGCTTTTTAATGATGCAAAACATGTAATAATCCCTTTTCTCCTAAATTTTGCACAGTGCCGAACATCAGGCATGTGCTTAATAGACACTTGCTGATTAAGAAGCTACATAAAGGACCTGCAACTACAGCAGTACCTAGTTTCAGCTTGAAAATAATAAACTTTAAATCACTTGAAGTTTAATCACCAAAGTTGTACTTATAAAACACAAAGCTGAAGCTCATTTAAAAACTACTACTTTTCCATAACCTCAACCTGTTTTTACCTGTACAGTTTTCCATTGAGAAAATGTGTCTTACAAAATTTTAAGAGGTATTAGGAGAAAAGATTTAAGTTAAACATTGACTACCTTCAGTGGATTTTTTTCCTACTGAGCCTGAAATTTAATAAATATAGTAAACTTATTTTTCAGCTTTAGGTGGGGCTAGTGTTTGACAGGCAGGCTCTTTCTTTTCAAGTTACCTATTTTGATTATTCTAAAATCTATTATCTTAAAATAGGCACACAGGATACAATTACAACCAAACACACCTCAACACTACATACTGCTTCTCTTCCTCACATGGAAGAAGTAATACTCTTTGAATTACACTAGTTTTCCTTCACATACACATCTAAACTTTAAAAAGCCACCCACACCCATGAAGCCATATATATATATAGCCCAGTAGCTGTTCTTCCAGAGCTACTTGCACTCCCAGCCGCAGCCTGGAACCCTGCCACCTTCTCTTTCAAAGCCTCAAAGTTGCCATGACAGCACTGCTACAAAGAGCACAGCCTCTTCATTACGTGAATTAGTATTCAGAAGGGATTATGTCTCATAGAAAGAACCTATCCACACAATTATTTTAATTACCTTTTCCTGGGAACTGGCATTGAAGAAAACCATCACATGTGCAGATTATTTCCTTTTATTTTTCTTTTAAGGTACAATTCGTCTCAAAGCTAATCAAAACAATGTTATGTAAATGACTTTGCTTGTTAAAGTACCTTCACTGAATTTCAAAAACAATAAAATGAGCATCTATAAATGAAGGTTGCTGAAAATTAATATACAATAATTGCAGGGTTCAACACGTTTTTAAATGTATCCCCCAAAAGGGAAAATAAGTGAATTTTCAAAAATTTCTACTAAGATTTTATGTCGAATGTCCACTCATTTTAGAAAAATCTCTATAGTGCTTCTGGTGCTATAAACATCTGTTGTTTTCATTACTACCATGTGCTTTTGTTTTTTTGGTTTTTTTTGGTACCGGGGATTGAACTGGGGTCCTTGTGCTTGGGCAGCAGGTTGCAAAACCACTGAGCTAAATCCCTGGCCCCCTACCGTGTGCTTAAAAAAAAAAAATCCTAGCCTAAATTTATCTGAAAAGAATGTTATCTGCTTTAAGCTAACGCTTTGCCCAGACATGAGTCAAAAACTGATTTGTTTTCTAGACTACTTCCCAGAGGAAAAAACCTTACAAATTCTTACTTTCCTTTCTCCTTAGGTTGACATATGTAAGCTAAGAAACATGTATCACACTATTTAAACTTCTGGTGGCCAATAGAAGAATGGGAATTTTGAGGAAGAAAAATCTAAGATTTGCTTTGCATTGTAAGTGCCAGCTGCTCAATACTGCCAAGAGCTGAAAGAGAAGAGTTACAGAGTGTGCTACTGGTTCATAATACATAAAAATGTATAATTAGGTTCTGACTGCTTTGGAGAAAGCATTGTGTGTATATAATATAAAGATCACATGTTAATGAAGCAAATATAACTTCTTCCTGCAAGGAACAAATGATTAGAGGGGATGTACTTTTCTGGAAATAATCTGAAAGAAAAGTTCTGAGAAGAGCAGAAAGCACCCTTGGCCACCTACCCATTTTGCTGTTTACTGTCACCCTGGGATCCTCTTCTCTGTCCCTCTGCTAGCTCCTGAGCAGTCTCGGAACACACGCTGGTGACTGTGGGCTGCCGTGGGACATTAACTGCAGCTTTACCAGCGCTCAGCGCAGGTGAACACCGGTCAGCACTAAGACTGGCACTAACATGCAGTCCAGACGCAGAGGATGGGGGAGGAGTGACAGCAGCCACAGGTGGAGGGGAAGCATGTGATGAGGTGGTTGCATGGGCTGGGGTGAAGGCGGACGATGGTGATGGGATGGATGTGATTTTTGGTGAAGACACAGAACCAAAGGGCCGTGGTGCTTTATTGTAGGCCATGTTGGTGGTGAAAGTGACTTTGGACACAGCAGGAGATGTAATGGGCACAGGTTTAACTACTTCTTTAGGTTCTCCCTATGTGAAATAAAAATAAACATACACAAAAACACACCAAATACATGCAAAATATATCCACTGAAAAGAGCACACAGCTGACTTTTAAAAAGACAAACATAATCATGTTAGCAGCTCAAATGTCACATGTTTAGAGTAATACAGGGTAACATGCATGCTAACTGGTCCCGACATGCATAACACAGTACATATAATCATATTTTTATTTATAAAAATGAAGAGTTTCAAAATATTTGGGAAACAGCAGGAAAACCATCAAACAGCCTACAGGCCATCGTAAGTATTAATTCAGATATATTGCTCAAAGTTGAAGTTCTAAAATACTCCACAATAAAATAAAACATTGCTAAATAAAATGTTTTTATTTTAAACTATCCATGGCCTCAATTATAATTCCATTTTTCAAACATGTTTAATTTCCCTACACAGTGCAATTATATGATTCATGCAGAAGTACTAGCACATTTTAAACTCTTCAATTGAAAAAAAAAAACATGGGGAATAAGATAATTTTCATCTAACTCAAAAATGTGTACATTCTGATTATCTAGAGTCAAGAATCTGAAAAGAAAAAATTTACAGAAACCAAACAAAAATCAATCCTTTCTTTTACCTATAACCCATTCCTGTTTCTCTCTGAATGTTTTAAGATACGATTGACAGAATAAAATTCTTTCCCTTTTCAAAAATAAATATTTAGGGCTGGGGATTTAACTCAATGGCACCGCACCTGCCTTGTAAGTGCAAGGCACTGAGTTCGATCCCTGGTACCACAAAAATAAACAAACAAACAAACAAATAACTGTTTCATGAGAGAAAAAATGCTCTTAGTTCCATATTGCCAGAAACAGAAGAAAATTTAACTAGTATGATTACTTCCTCTTTAAATTACTAGAATTGTGGTAAATTGTTTTTGTAAATCCTTTTCAGGAAAAAAAAATTAGAGTAAGCCTTTATGATATTCAAAATAAGACCCTATTCATTCTATCATCCCAGAAGAAAAATAGTCAACTTTTAAAGAAAACTTACATGAGTAACTCAATGTTTAATTTTTTAAAAAAGTAATACACATTAATGTTTTAGAAATAAGAAACTGAGGAAAAATAAGTAACTTAAAATGTTAAATACATCAATATAATAAATAACTCAATAAAAAATGAAAGACAAGATATATATATGAGAAAAAAAGGACAACGGCCAATAACCTAAATCCAAGAATACCATGAAATGTAATTTCTAGATGTTGTTAAAGACTTACTGTGTATTCATGTTAGTAACCTAAATCCAAGAATACCATGAAATGTAATTCCAAGATGTTGTTAAAGACTTACTGTGTATTCATTTTAGGTAAGCACTTAAATATATTTTTAATACATGAATAAAGACAGAAAATAGAGACAAATATAAAGGAAGAAAACTGGGCATAAATTACTGATAATCTATGGCTGTAGAAATGTTTTATAACAGGTATAACTACAATGGTAATTCTGTATGTGTTGATTTCTATTCTCCTCTTCATCTTTTATGGAAAAGAACTATGAGAAAAACTGCACTGAGACTTTAAATAAGTACTCCTATGGCCTGAGAGAGAAACAGAAACTACAGGTGGCTCAGGAAAGACCGTCAAATGGTAACTTGGTGATGCTACACTAGAAACTCACCTTTTGAACAGAAATTGGCTCAGGCTTGGATGTGGCAGATGCTCTAGGAGGAAAAAAGAAGAAAAAAAATCATGAATTTCTGGAAACTGACAGGCTTAATAGAATTTTTATGTTATACCTCAATATGCTAAATCAGAATTTGTTTGATAATTCATACTTTGAAATGTTCGCAATCATCACAATCTTCTAATTAACTCAATTTAAACCAAATGCTGCAAAACCCAACATGTTTATACACTAAATATTTACTACCAGTCTCTGGTTCCCCAAACTCAAGTAAAGAAAGACAAACACCAATCCTATTTGCTAAAATATTCACTTTAATCTTTAAGGCTGTTCTCTACCTTAAAGAGCAAAGTATAATAAACATTGTTTTCTGATCCCTGAGAGTGTCCTCAATTATACAACCCAGTTCTCAATCTCTGCTAACCTTTGCCTTTTCTCCTAATATCTATGATCACATCCATGGTACTAGGTTTCTTTGTGAAGAAAGTACATACAAGTATATCTTATATAAACACTTGCTTATTCTGGTTGAACTGAGTCCTTGAGAGTATTTTGTATTTATATTCTTAAGTGTGTACGCACATTAATGTATTTGGTATGCAAAAAATTAAATTAAGTTCTTCCAGTAGGCCAGTGATGCTAAACCTGTTAGAGCTTTCAATGATAACAAATAGCTGAGGTAAGCGTGCCATAGGTTCGACACCTCTACCCTTAGGCTACACTTTCAGTAAAGGTAATGATTACTGTCCTATTAGTATCTTTATCTTAGCAAAGTTCCTGACATTTAAGAGGTCATATGTAATGAACATGAAAGGGAGAGAAAGAGGAAGGATAGACAAAAATCCATGCATACAATTTGACTATTTACAATTTCAAATGAATTTTAATACATGCATTTTGTTTTGCACTCTGTGCCTTTTGATTAACATTGACTAAACTGTAACAGTAATTGGTTTGGAGGATTTAGCCCATATAATCATGATAATAATAAAAGTAAAAAGTTCAAATGAGGATCTTCAAAGTTCAAGTAAATTGCTTAGGATGGAGCTGAGGCCTCCTGTTGTTACATATGATAAGATACTAACAAAATAATAGGGAAAGCCTAGGATGCTTTAAACACTACTTGCTCAATAATATTGTGCATGTTATTTTCAATATGCCAGATGCAGTGTGACTCCTTTAGTATCACTCCAGCCCGAGGATTGGACATCAAGTGCAGAATCCAAGACATAAGCATAGCAGGTAGATAGTGAGTAATACTAATTTTATTCTACAAACCATGAGATTGTTTTATTTATAAAGATAACCACACACAAATAGAAGACATTGACATAGGATTTTGGGTCTCCAGGAGCATAACCTAATAATGAAATCTGATCAACATTTTAGCAGCAACTGAATTTTCCAGTAACAGCTAATTTGGTTAGCAATGGCAGGCAATGACAAAAAAACTGGCTGGCATAATGAAAGGCCACAATGGATGCTAATATTTGGCTATTGCGATACAGGTTAAACCCTGTAGAGTTGCAAAACTTTCCATGTGTATTTTCAAACAGACAATTTCTTTTAGCTTACAATATTATTAAACAAGCAAAGGAAACAAGTTCAGTGGAAACAAGAACAGTGAAATCTTCCTTTTATTGAAATTTTACAGTAAGATGTAATCACTAAGGATCTATTTATTAAAACCACCCAAGACATTATTTAAAGTTTGCCAAAATAGAGAAGCCAATTTTCTTTTGCACCTGGATACTTTAAGGTACATGCAACAATTATAGTTAACAGGAAAATAAGTCATAAAAAAGGACATGGTATTTGACAGTCATTGGGTTTTCAAACTTAAGATAAAATGTATATATTCTATGTCTATGAGAACAAGTCCTTCCGTTTTTTATAGCTGTTGGTTCTAATATGAAGTGTTAGCAGCAACAACAAAGCCATATAGAATGGTTAGATTTTCCAAGAATAACACCTAGAATAAATAACAATGAACCTCAACAAACTTTATTAAACGTTCTATAAAAAATGTTTGAAATTTTTAATTCCCACAAAAAATTTAAATGTGAAATTTGAATATGTTTATCTTCTAATAAAAGCTCTAAACTGCAATGACATGAATTAAGTAATCAGGGAAAAGAGAGGCAACATGGCCTCAAAATTCCAGGATTGAATCCATTATACAAACAGCCTTGGGGGTGGGGGGGGGAATCGACTGGTTTATAGTTAAATGTCAAATAATATGGTTAAGACTCGATGCAATAAAATTAGTTCTCTTACTTTAAATGCTAACCACCTAATGAGTCACAGAATCATTAAACCTTGAAAAAAAGGTTCCTTACTTTATTATATGCCAATTGGGTTGTCTGGCTTCTGCTTGAGTATTAATATAAATTCATAATTTTAGCAAAAATTTGAACTCTTGTTAAATGGTCATTTTAGTGCTTTACTTTGTTATTTGGAGTAAACAAATCTAGCCATTCACATTAAAATATTTTGAAAAACATTTTAATATACAGTAGATTACATAAAATCTATAACATCTATTGGTTACATTTTAAATCAGATTACCAAAATCCAATAATAAATGAAATTATATATGTATTCTTTGGTAGCACTGGAGATTAAACTCAGAACCTCTGCACTGAGCTACATCTCCAGCACTTTTATTTTTTATTGTTAGACAAAGTCTCACTAAGTTCCCCATGCTAGGTTAGAACTTGCAATCCTCCTTCAGCCTCCCAGAGTTCTGGGATTACAGGTGTGTTCCACCAAGCTACCAATTACACAGTCTTACAATACTAAAACTATTCTGGTTCAGGAAACTTAGAATACATAACAAGTGAAATCTACAAAACAGATGAATAAAAAAAGTACTGATTTTTAAAGCAGTGACTGTTGCCAGGCATGGTGGCGCTCGCCTGTAATTCCAGCACTCAGGAGGCTGACACAGGATTGTCATGAGTTCAAGGTCAGCCTGGGCTACACAGGAAGTTCAAGGCCAACCTGAACCAGATCGTGAGACTGTCTCAAAAAAACAAAACTTAAAATATAAATAAATAAAAAGCAAATGTTACTAATTATGAAAGAGCAGAATGAAAATATATACCAGTTTTTCTGTAATTATACAAAGATTTTTTTAAGGGTCAGGGATTTAGCTCAGTGGTTTCGCCCGCCACCTGCTGCACAAGCACAAGGACCCGAGTTCAATCCCCGGTACCAAAAAAACCCCTAACAAACAAAGATTTTTTTTTTTGGTTAAATTCTTTTATTGGTACATTTTAGGTATACAACACAATGACATTTCTCATTGGGAATTGTACCTTTATATAATGCATCTTGGTTCTTATTTTTTCCCCATTCCTAGCCCTCCCTTCACCCCCTCCACCCTTCCCTATTTACAAAGACTTTATTTCCATTTTTTCCATTTCTCAGCATTTTTCCTTTCCCTTCTTTCCTTTCCCCTGTGCCTCCCACTACCCCTACCCCTTTGGAGCTTTTCTTCCTATTTTGCATTATTGATTATTCATTCTAATCATTAATACATTTTAGGTATACAATATAATGACATTCATCATTGGAAATTTGCACCTTTACATAGTCTCTCTTGGTTCTAATGTTTCACCCTTGCCCAGCCCTCCCTTCAACTGCTCCATTCCTCCCTATTTACAAAGATTTTGTTCCTATTTTTCGATTTTCTCATATTAATCCCATTCCCTTCTATCCTTTCCCCTAGCCTTCCCACTTCCTTCCCTTTTGCCCCTTTTCTTCCTATTTCACATTACCTATTATACATTTTAGTCCTTATTTACACTTTCAGTTTCTCACACCAGAGAAACTATTTGGTATTTATACATGTGTGTCCTATGTATTTCACTTAAGAGTATCACCTCAATGTGCATCCACTTAGCTAAAAATGCTTTGCCAGGGATTTACCTCAGTGATTCTGCTGCCTGCCTGACAAGCACAAGGTCCCGAGTTCGATCCCCAGTACAAAAAATAGCAATAATAATAATGCTTTTTAAAAATGCTAAGTTGTGTTGCCAGGAGATCTATGTATTAGTACAGTTCTTCTGGAAACACTAAGTATTAAAAGCCTTAAAGAAAGCTCATGTTCTCTGACATACTCAACTTTTGAGAATCTATCATAAGGAAATAAAGTATGAAATAAGTATGCATAAAAAATAAGTATGTGCTAGTGCAAAACTGGAAATAATCTAATATGCAATGAGCAAATGGTTAATTGTAATATAACCACAAGACAAAACACTGTGCAACAATTAAAATCATTCTTAGAATTCTGCATTGCATGATAAAATGCTTCCTGTATGATACCAAGCATACAGAGCATGACCAGTCTATGGAAAAAAAAGTGGATGGAAACACATCAACATTTTAGGGGAGGTTCGCTCTAAATGCCATTTTTCTCTTTTGTGTGTTTTCCACACTTTATACAATGTATTACTACTTTTTAGAATAAAGAAAACTACTTCTTGGGCCAGCGATTTAGCTCAGTGGTGCGGCCACCTGCCTTGCAAGCGCAAGGTCCTGAGTTCAATGCCTGGTACTAGAAAAAAAAAAAAGAAAACTATTTCTCAAAGCCTATTTCATGGAAAACTACTTTTCAAAAAACAAAACACAAAAAAAATCCTCTGTTATCAAAGATATCCAAAAAATATGGAGTTAAGAGTTATACAGTATCAGTTTCAGGACTTCTTAGAGGCTTTAAATGCATAAAGCAGAAAATACTATGGGGATTGTTACCCTTACACATTTGAAGGAGAACTCACTATTTAGGAAACATTTCTCAAGTTTGGTGTTGAGGAAAGAGGGGTAAGCCTGGGAAATAATATTTTAGTTTAGGAGGTTTTTTTTTGTTTGGTTGGTTTTTTTTTGGTACCGGGGATCAAACTCGGGTTCTTGTGCTTGCAGGGAAAGCGACGGAACCACTGAGCTAAATCCCCAGCTCTGGGAAATAATATTTTAAAAAAATAAAGAAAAAGAAAATCTTTCTTAAGTCTGAAATCTTTACTTAAATCT